GGCCTGAGCTGGCCTGGGGGGCGGGGGCTGAGCTGGCCTGTGTGGGGGAGCGCAGAGACGGGAGCCCCCAGGACTCACCGAGGCCTCTGCAAGCTGCAAACAGTTCCCTGTGGCCTGGCCAGCGTGGCTCAGGGGTTGAGCATCGATCTATGAACCAGGAGGTCACGGTTCGATTCCCGGTCAGGGCACAGGCCTGGGTTGTGGGCTTGATCCCCAGTGGGGGGCGTGCAGGAGGCAGCCGATCCATGACGCTCTCTCATCATGGATGTTTCTCTCTCTCTCCCTCTTCCTTCCTCTCTGAGTCAATAAAAACATATTAAACGAACAAACAAGAACCCTGTGGACCCCGCGCCAGTGCCTGTCACTCTGTTTTCCCCTCCCCAGGGCTGCCGGACTTGGAGAAGGTGGTGGTGATCCCGTACGTCGCCCCCCGGGAGGAGGTGGACATCTCCAAGGTCCCCGACAGGTGAGTCGGCCTCGCGGTGGGCCGTGCACTGCAGACCTCGGGGGAGAAAGGCGTTTTCTGTGGACGCAGCGATTGGATGGCGCCTGTGCATGGGGTGTGTGTGGGAGGCGGGGTGAGGGGGCAAACAGAGGCGGGCGCCCAGGCTCTGCCCGAAGCACCTCTCAGCCTCCCTCAGCAGCTCCCCTGTCCAGCAGCCACAAGGTAGCGCTCAGAGCCCCGTCTCCACAGTGGTATCTGTAGAAGCACTTTATTATTGTTGTTGTTGTTGTTGTTATTTATTTTAAAGTATTTTTATTGATTTCAGAGAGGAGGGGAGGGGAGGGAGGGAGAGAGAAACATCAATGAGGAGAGAGAATCATGGACCGGCTGCCTCCTGCACGCCCCTCACTGGGGATGGAGCCCGCAACCCGGGCCTGTGCCCCGACCGGGAATTGAACCCCGACCTCCTGGTTCCCAGGTCCCGCTCACCCACTGAGCCTGGACGGCCGGGCTGTTGCAGCGCTTTAGGAAAGAGCCTGCCCGCCGCTGTCGGCTCTGTTAGCAGCTAGAAATGGTCCCCTGTGCCCCCGGCTGCCCCCCAGGTCCCCGAGGTTGGGAGGCGCGGCTTCTCCCCTCCCTGGCTTCCCCTCTGGAAGGAAGGGTTGGTTTCCCAGGAGCCCAGGCCCTGGCCCCGCCCGGCTGGACGGGAGGGAGCGAGGGCTGCGTGGGGCGGAGGGTGTGTCACTGTGTGACCCCGGCCTCGCCCGCAGCGTGTTCCTGGATGACTTCCTGGCGACCGGGAAAGGGGACCAGGCGCCCCAGCTGGAGTTCGAGCAGCTGCCCTTCAGCCACCCACTGTTCATCATGTTCTCCTCGGGCACCACCGGCGCGCCCAAGTGCATGGTGCACTCCGCGGGGGTAGGGCTCCCCCCGGCTCCCTGTTCTCCCACCGACCCCGTCCTCCCACCGCACCCCGTCCTCCCACCGTACCCCGTCCTCCTGGACATCTGGAATGGAGCCGGCGTGGGGAGCTGCTGTACCCGGGGCTGGGCGGGCGGCACCACGGTGGTGGGCACAGTGC